AAAATCAAACATGAATCGAGCTTAATGTCGAGCTTGTTCATGAACTTCAAATGATGTTGTTCGCGAACATAAATGAGCCGAACACATTAGCGTTCAAGTTTGTTTATTTAAGAATCGAGTATTTAAAATATTGTTCAAGTTTGTTTGTTTAGTTAATTAAATGATCGCAAACGAGCTTTAATCGAACCGAACAACGAGTAGCTCGCCGAACGTTTGGTGGTGAATGTTTGGTTCGCCTGCAGCCCTAATTATTAGTAAACTGAGCTCAACGAGCTAATAAGTTAAGTTTGAGACAATAATGATTCTACTCATTAGCTCGTGAGCCGTTCATTTAAAAAATACTAATATAAAATGGCATGAAATATATTAAAATTAAAGAATTTTAATACAATGTTAATAAAAAATAATTTAAATTTACGCCTCACCTCTTTACATTAAATGATTTTTTACTATTTAACATCTTTTTAAATGGATATTTTTATTCTTCTTTCGGAAAGCTTTCTTATCACTTTCTAAAGTAAATTTTTAGTACAAAAATATTAAAACTAAAATATTTTGTACAAAAAAGTTGTTTTAAAAAATAATAAGAAAGTTATCCCAAATGAATCCTAAATTTTCTTGTAATTATTTGCAATGGAGTATGGATATTGCATGCATCTGTTTATGGTCAAATTTTAACTGGATGAATTTTGTTTAAGGTTGACTTAGATTTTATTTATGACGTCTTTCTTATTATTTTCTAAATTAAATTTTAAGTACAAAAATTTCAGATTAAAATATATATATATGAAAAAACTGTTTTAGAAAGTAGTAAGAAAACAGTCCCAAATAAAATCTCAGCTGATTAACAGTTGCATAAATCAAAATCATTTTCTCTCTTTCATACTAAATAAGCATGACCATGAGCTATAATGTGGCTGAGGCTCGTTCCCTCGTCACCATGTGGTGGCAACCTTTGGCAAATCTTTTCGTGGTGCTGGGGTTTAAGGTCACTTATTTACCTTACTGGACGGTCAGTTCGGAGTTTCGAGGGTGCTGGTAGCCTCGGCCAACTACTGAGTCCACCTCTCTTTATTGTATTTCTCCTTTTTTTTGTTTTATCTGGTCTTTATAACCGTTTTTTTATTTTAATAAAATTTTATTTTAATGTCAAAAAAAAAAAAGCATGATCATGAGCTATATACCTCAAATTGAAAGAATTAAGCTCAAACTCAAACTCAAATTAGTAGTGGCTCGAGCTCAACCAGATTTGTTCACATTCCTAGCAAGGACACAAATAAGCATCCTTCTTCTTTAGATTGCTGTGGTGAGTCGCAAATTTATCATCAGTTGTTATATGAAGGTGTTCACTGGAAAAGAACAAATAAGCATCCTAAAGAGTCGTTTGAAATCCTATCAAACAAATTGAAAAGAGCTACTGTACTGATTTTAACTGATTCAAACAGCATCGATTTTGATTACCAATGCCAAAAATCCTGATCTTATATTGGACATCAATTATGATTGAAATGCATATTTGAAATCAGCATAATTTGAGATAATAAAGTATGATATTGTTCATTTATGAATATATGAAAATTTCAATGCTTGTCGCAACAAAGGACATATAGAATAAGCTCATTATAATATATGAAAATAATAATAAGGTAAGATTTACACATAAATATATTTTGTTCATGAATATAAATTATTTCATATGTTGATTTTTAAAACAATTTTTGATGTATACATATAATTTATAAAAATCATCAACTTATTGTATTATCTAGAAAGATTTGGTTTGCATGATTCTGATGATTGATATGAAGAAAATTAAATCAAGTAAGACCCACACACAAGCTAGGCTACAACATTATAATCGTAAATCGAATTAATTGATTAGAAGCTTTATAGGAGTATAACAAGTTTATTACTACTCATTACTGCTAGCAGACTTAATATTATGTTTATTGTATGTATTTTATGCTATTTTTTATTCCAATTCAAAAGGATCTCTTCTCATACCGGCTCGACATATATATATATATATATATATATATATATATATAGATATTGATAATTGTTAGGCGCATAAAGATTTTGGCATGTGTTAGTTTTTGGGATCATCACTTATTTCTTGATATTTCAAAAAATAAAATTATGTGGCATTATCCACTAGTAAAGTTGCATACATGGTTATTTATAGGTATATTGCATTATTGCGTAGGTTCTCTAGCTAAGGCAAGGATTAAAATAAAGCACATCCCAATTAAGTGTTATAATAATAGTGTTACCAAGTTAACTAAAAATCATGTTCAACACTTACGTATCAAAATATAGTGATTAGATACAATTTCAATAGGGATAATTCTTGTAGAGGTGATATTAACATTGAGTTTGCATGTATTAATTTATGAACGACAAATATTTTAAAATATCACTTCTTTGTTGTAATATCATTATGGCGCCAATAAGATGACATTAATTTAAATCCTCGATAGTTGTTGGATGATTATGAGTCAGCTGAGCAACACATGAAGATACGTTGAATTGGTAGTATCTAAGAGACCATGATGAGAATGTGGCAAAGGAGGAGCTATAACATTATGCTAATGAGGCATTGCATACTAATCAGTCATGGTATGTTATTGATTTTTTTAGTGAGAGAACTCTATTATGTTGTGATGCTTCTATTTATTATCTTGTGTTCTTTAAGAGTTCAAGAACTTGAGCTTAAATCTCTTCCATCCTATCCATATGATCCTCCAAAGTGAGGCATATGTAACATTCATCAACCATTACATGCTATGAAGATTGCCACATAAGACTTTAAATTATTACATGCTAGAAAATTTATGGTTATAGAAAGAGTTTTAAGTTTTAGCTTTGCACAAAGATGTATTACACATAGATAAAAGATAAGATTATGGGAAACACTATAAATTTTCCGTGAAAAGACCACAAATGAAGAAATTATGGTGTTTAGCCCAATTAAAATTATTTATCATGCTTTCAAAGTAATAAAAAATCACTTTTCTCCGTAATTACGGATGAAATGGTTACAATTTTTAGAACACTCAAGTCTCCTATAATTGTAGTAGTGATTATGAGAGAAATAATTAATGGAGGCATGCGATTTAAGTAGGATGATGTTAATCAGGCAAAGATGATCAAATAATAATAGTTATATGATGATGGTTGGACAAAAATAGTTAGATGACAATGATCAGATGATAATGAATGAACTATAGACTATATAATGATAGTCAAACAATGATGACAATGGTAGTCAAATAATGATGATAGAGTAATAGTGGTCAGACGATGTCATTTAGATGACGATGATCATACAATGGCAGTCAAATGAACACAATTACTTATAATGATTATTGGTGTCAAATGTCTTGAAAATATCTAGAGTTCTTCAAGTTCTTGAGCTCTCTTCGAACTCAGGCTTTGTCATGTCATATGAAGAATGACAGTTTATTTATTATATTTTTGAAGTGTCATTTTAATAAATTTGACTATAAAATTTTTAGCAATCTATCACATGATCTATATTGATTTATTTGATCATAGATATTTTATTCAACAATTTAGTATCGTAAAGACCTCTAATCAAATGCTCTTGGCGTATTTAAATTCATTTTGTTGTGTCGTTCTATTTGACTATAAACATACAAGATTTGAAGATCATTTGATATTTCAATTAATGTCTTAAAATTTCAATCTCACTTCAAATACTTGATTTCAGCTCATTTGAATACAGATCATAGCATTTTGATGACATTTCTGTTTGATTATAAATTTGCTAAATGAGAGCTTAAATAATTCTGAATTCATTATAAAAAATAATCTTACAATATAAAATTTGAGATCCATACAAAATAAAATATTTTTAAATACATATCATACATTTAAAATAATTATTGAAATAAATTGAACGATGGTTCGTCCTTATTTTTAAAATGTTTGGATACGTACTTTATATTAAAAAATATATTTTATGAATTTTTGTCAATACTATGCTTCTTTAGTTCTTTTATCTTCGCATCTTTTAATTGGAAATAAAAAAGATTTTGAAAGCTTAAATTAAGCTAACACATGCAAATATTTTAAAAAGTTGAACGTTATGAGTTGGATTAGCAGTATTGGGCGCATAGTACTTTTCGCAATTATACTTACGACTAAAAGCAGGCCTTGAGAACTAGTTGCACTTGTTAGCTGCTCACCTACTACCCGGCTTTCCTCTCCACGCTTTTTTTTTAATCCTCTGATCAGCGGAAAAGGGTCAAGCGCGGCGGCGGCGGAGGCGGAGGAGGAGGAGAAGTATGCGGGGAGTCGGGGACGCGTATCGGATAAATCTTGTGAGTTGTGAGACTTTGGGGGTCTTGAGTTGATCGCATCGACCTCCTTTTCTTCTAAGGGACTTTGGTTTTGGAGAACCTATTATATGTTTTCCTGAGAGAAAAGGGGGGCAGAAAGAATGTACGACGCTCCGCCGCCCCGTGCTTCGGGATCTGCTACCGCCAATGCGGCGGGCTTGGTGGCACCTAGGTCTTATCAGGTCTGGGAGGGTAGCAACGTAAGCGTCACTTACTCGCTCGCTCGCTCTCTCTCTCTCTCTCTCTCTCTCTACTCTCTTGGCCCCCTTTATTCCATCTTACTATCTAAAAGATAAGGAAGGAGTAGTTCGTCTTTTGCATATTTAAAATTTTGGGTGGTTTGGGAAGTTAGAGCGGAATAGGAACGAACGATGCTGATTTATTTTAGGTTTAGTTTGAGAGATGATTATGGAAGTTCGTAGCTTTCTCACCATTTGAGGTGCTTTATTTGGGTGCAGATGTAACTGATTTATGCATTATGAGATTTCTTTCATTTTGTGAATGTTTATAGGAAAAAAAAAACAGTTTTTTAATTTTATTTTTTTTTTTGTAATTTGGGAGGCTAATATTCTCTTCGGGGTTTGATACTTTCTAATGGGCAGAAATTATCTGATACACGGTCCAAGGCTGTTCCTTCTTGAGACATGCCTAGGAACTGAGCTAGTACTGACCTGAGCTGGCTCATAGAAATCTTCTTACATTATTTAGTATAGTTCCTTGATTTCCTTAACTTGGTTATGCGACATGATTAAATTACTGGAAGGAAGCTTTCCAGGTTGCTCTAAATGGAATCCTAAAACATAGATGGGCTTGTTTTAAGGCACAATTTTCTGTGTTAAATCTCAGCAATAGCACTGATATTATAATTGGTTGTACTCATCTAATGAATAACCAAAAAACTAAACTCCCATTTAACCTTGCTAAACTTTCGGTTCACCTGAAATTATAGGTTGCACACTGAACAGTGAAATATATTTTTGATGAAATCCATCTCTCTTGGGAATTTCCATATAATCAAGTTCTACTTATTACCTATTATATTTTTGAGGTTGATAGTACAGTAACAATTTTGCTTTTTTTGCTGTCATTGTTCTTTTCTTATCAATGCCACTTAACATATGACGATCAATTTATGGTAGCGTGACATGGCAACAAAAGATAAGGCCAATTGGATTTCTAGTGGCCTACCACATATTAATGTACCATATTTATGTTCTAAATTTTGAAATTCCAACGTAACTGTTATGAGAATGTTCTGGTTCAAATGCAAAACTGTAACAACATTTGTTTTTTTATTTCATTTCCTGTAAAGCATAGGCTATAAAATCATGTAGAATAGCTTATGAATCTCTTTAGTGGAGCTACACGTTAACTTTTGTGTAATTGGTGATTTTATTGATTCCGTTTGTTAGTCTCACATGCTTCTAAATTCTGCAAGGATTACTTTTTTTTTTTTACTGAAATGAAAGGAGACTAAGACTAGAGGAATCTGGAAGATGCTTAAACTCCCATAGCATCCTAACTGTGTTTATGAATGTTGAATTATTAATGCTATAGATTATAATTGTCTGTTTTCAGCATGTACTTTTCTTTCTTCTGATAATTAATTCCCTTCACTTGGAACTTGGAAAGGATGTTTTGGGGTCTCTAGAATCAAGAGTAGGGAAGGAACAAAATGGCCTAATATTCACTTAGTCCCTTTTCTCTTATTTTTATTTGCTGGCCATCCTCACAAAACAGGTTTCCTTTGGGTTGACAAAATCAACCTTTTATTGTTTCCTGTAATATTCTCATGTAAAGAAACATAATTGGGTTAACCCAAACTCGGATTGTTCAAGTGGCATTTCGATTTGGTTGTCATATTGATTTCTTGTCCACCTAATGTGCCCGCTCTCTTTAGATGTTTTTTATGTGCTCGCATTTCTTTCTTTATTTTTTCATTGAATATGCCTACTCTTTAATTTGCATCTATTATAAAACATATGAATTATGTATAGTTTATCTGATCATGTTCTGCAGGTGTTTTTTCTTAAAGGGAGGTTCATATTTGGACCTGACGCAAGGTCACTCTTTCTGACCATGTTCCTAATCATTGCTCCTGCTGCAATATTTTGTGTTTTTGTAGCCCGAAAACTAATGGATAAATTTTCGCACCACACGGGTATATGCATTATGGTCATCACAATTGCATTTACATTATATGTAAGTACCGTTTTCTATTATATCATTTGTATGCTCAGTTCACTTTTTCCTAAATATATAATTTACTGAAATAGTTGGTGTTTAATCTGCTCATATTTTCTCATTTATGCCATCTTTATGGTCATACAATTAAACGAAATTTGTAAAATCCTCCCCATTGTTTGACCTTTTGGTGAAGGACAATAGTTTCATAAATTTATTACACTAGTTTCATTTGATTCAATTTATTTTTATAAAAACTAAAAGTGCCTAATTTTATTTAAAAGAAATTAGCTCATAATCCATCTCATTTTTCCTTCTCTTTCGCACCAGCATGCCTTCTTGCTGGTACAAAGGCCCCTATGTTGCATCGATACGGATACGGCGACACGGATACGACACGATACGGATACGGGATACGTCAATTCTTAAAAATATAGGATACGGGTACGGCGCGAACACGGCATTATAATTTATAATCATACATAAAAATTAAGAAATTAATCAAAGCATAATATTTGAACAAAAAAAATGACAACAACATCATTTGTAGCCTTGTAGCTTATAATATCAAAATATAAGAAAGCATTAAATGTCTAGTACAACAACAAAAGCATAAACATAAATTATCTAGCACATGAAGTTTCAACTATTCAATAGAATGAATGATATAATTATCTTCTTCATTGGTTTGTCTTTGAACTTCTATATCATCTTTAATAAATATCATAGCTTCTAATTCAAGCTCATCAACTGAAAGATTAGTAATTTTTAATGTTTTCATATCATCAAGAGACTCAAATCAATCTCAGAAATGAGAGAATTTTGCTCGCAACCACGGATGTAAATATGACACGTCTTTTTTCTTCGGATTTCTTTTTGTTTTTCAACGGACACGTGTATCGGATACGTGTGTCCTTTTGAAATTAAATAGTATTTTAATTGGATACGGCTTTGGCGTATCCAACACGTATCGGTGGAGTATCGGAGGCGTATCCGTATATCGGTGTATCGGATATAGCACGCCTTCATAAATAGGTGTATCGGTGCAACATAGAAAGGCCCCTTTCTAGCACGACCAAGTGAGAGATCATGGATGCAATCCTATAAGGTCTAGAGGCAACTCCCCACAGAATTCAGACATGTTCATGATTGTTCCAAGTGAGATCCTGCATGAGATCTCGAAACTATGTGCTTATTTCACTAGAACATACTTTTATAAATTTAATATGCTAGTTCCAATGATTTTTTAATTTGCAAAAAAAAAAAAAATGATGTAATTAGCTCATTAATCCAATTCTTATTTCCTTTTCATTAGTTTCCATTCCATCTTGCTAGCACATGCTCCATAGCTCACCTCTCGTGCATTAATTAGGGAGAGCTTATGGATGCAATCTTAGTGAGTCTGGTGTTTGGATTTTGACATGATCATTTTAGATCCATGTGAGATCTCTTACGAGATTTTGAGATTGTGAGATCATGTGATTACTTCACCCAAAAAAATCCAACAGTATCTTATGCATGTGATATTGTAAGGGGTATCCCTTTTGTGGATTTTTGTCAGAGCACCCTTAGGGGATCCAATTTGAGGGTGTGTTTTGATAAATTATTGTATGAATACTTAAATAACACGCATATTAAGGCCAAGGCATAGTTAAAATCGACTTAACAAAATCTTTCAAAATTGGTTCAATGAAATCTCATTTGGTGTCTCAACATAGTTGCAAAATAATTAATGCCATTTGTTGGTAGATGGAAGCCTAATTTTAATTCATAGAAGAGGTACTAAACCTCAATAAGTTGAATGTGACATTATGATTGATTTAGATTGCCTTTGGACTAAGGATGGGAGTCTTACAAAATTATTTGCACTTATTTTTACATAATTCCTTCAAAGATGTTTATTGAAAACTGATTAGCATTATGCATCATCGTGCCATCTTGATTATTGAACAGCCCAGATCACTACAAACTTCTGGTAAACTGCTTTTACATGTTTGACAAATAAGGGGCTTAATAGGAACAATAGATGCAAATGATTTATAATGGCAATCGTGAGCCTTTCATTGGTATTTTGAACCTGTTTATCATGGTACGATATACAAGAAGGATACTAGTTTTTACTTTGTTGTTTATTTTTTGCTTTGTTTCTCTTACCATTTGTTTAACTTTACTGGTGTTTTTATAGATGTTCTATCAGTCTTTTTTATGCCATAATGACTATTTTATCCATTTGGCAATATTGGGACGAATCCAAATTTAGAAGCGATGGATGAAGTTTTAATGGTTATTCTTTTTGATTTTGTTAGATCGTAACTATATTTTACCTTTTTCAAAGTTCTGCATTTGGCAATGAGAACTATTTTCAGTCACTATTATAATTATTGGTCTTATTCTTGTTGTTTGGATTGTATTCATGATGCCTTTGTCATTCAATCCCTCGAAGAGATGCATTTGCTTTAGAATTCAGATTAAAGCAAGTTCTTTTCAAAAACCTTTCCTTATGCTATCTTTTGGATGAGACCCTTTGCTTCCTGGCCCCTCCCTATTAGTTCCATCATACATCTTCTTATTGCCTTTTTTTATCATAAACGGATGAATCATCTAATGTTTTAGTTATCATTTTTCTCAATTTGAAGCAACTCACATTTCCTGTGATTGGTCTTACTTATTAATTAAATTCTGTTTGTGCACCCAATACCAAGCAAACGCAACCCTTCATATATTGGTATATGGAAAACAGCACATTGAAGCCCAAGTATCCTAGCATATAGCCTTGTTTTGAGTTCTGGATTTTGTTAGCTCATCTATTTTTCATGCTATAATCAACAAAATAATTTGTTTTACACACTATTTTTCCAGGATTTGTGTCTTTTGCTACTCACATCTGGAAGAGATCCAGGCATAATACCCCGAAATTTAAAACCACCTGAACCTGAAGACTTCGATGGAAGCATCGATGTTGGGAGCATTCAAACCCCACAATTGCGTTTACCTCGAATGAAAGATGTCATAATCAATGGGATAATTGTGAAGATCAAGTATTGTGACACATGCATGCTTTATCGGCCTCCTCGTTGTTCCCATTGTTCAATATGCAACAACTGTGTGGAGCGCTTTGATCATCACTGCCCATGGGTTGGACAATGCATTGGGCTAGTAAGTAATAATTTATAGAGTAGCATTTAGACAATTTTGTGATAATCCTTTGTCCAAAATTTGAATTTTACCATGAGCTCATTTGTTTGTTTGCAAATAGATAGTTGATTATTTGTAGATAGAAAGCATGTCTTAGAAATTGATCATCTCACTTTAATTGATTTTGTATGTGTAATTAAAATTTTCACATTTGAGGAATTTTGGAATTGTTTATGGAGTTTTAAAGCAATATTGATTTTAGGTTACATTCAACTAAATGATGAAATCTTTAATTCATCATTTTAGAAAATATGATTTCTATGTGCAAGCAACCAAATGAGGCCTAAATGAAAATTTTGAAATTGTTTGAGTCTAACGGCCACTGGGGATCACGTCATGTATAATTTAATTGAAATCTCCTGCCACCTCTATTCGCGTTCTAGTTGTTCAAATGAAAATAATTTAACAGGTCATGCTTTTTATTAATTCTAATTATTTTCTTTGTGCAGAGGAATTATAGGTTCTTTTATATGTTTGTTTTCTCAACAACTCTTCTCTGCTTCTACGTCTTTGTCTTCTGCTGGGTTTATATCAAGAAAATTATGGATGCAGAAGAAATAAATATGTGGAGGGCAATGGCAAAAACTCCTGCTTCAATTGTTCTAATCATTTACACATTTATAGCGGTGTGGTTCGTGGGTGGCCTTTCTGTTTTCCATTTATATCTCATAAGCACTAATCAGGTAAATGATGTGCTTTTTATAGTTGATCTTGTTCTCATGCATGTCATCGAAGCATTATTTTCATACTTCCGGTTGTAAAATAATAGTTGTATTGTTTTCTATGAGGGTAGTCACTTTTATAATGTTGATACAAAGGCTTTGTTTGGGACAAGCTTTCTTACTACTTCTTAAAGCAGTTTTTTAGTACAAAAATTTTAATTTTTCTACTAGAAAGTTATTTTAAGAAGCAGTAAGAAAGCCAGTCCCTAATGAAGCCAAAATTTCTTCTATGGCAGATTTTGAATTCACATTTATTTACGCAATTCAAACTTTCAATGAATAGGTTACTATTGCCACCTTCTTTCCTAATTCTTCTTCCAGCCTTTTTCTCGCACTTTTCCTCTGTCCCCTTTAACCCCTCTTCTCATGCACTGACACCTACACTGACCCCACATACAAAAGAAAAAAAAATTACTCTCAACAAAATAAAAATCATACAAACAATGAATAGAATAAATTCCATTCCAGAGGGGGAACCATATCTGATAGCCATATAAATTCTTATGGCTCCATTTTGTAATTCTGTATGTGGCCTGATTATGATATTTAGGACAGTAGAATTAATTTTTGTGTTTGGTGAAGAGCAGTTTAGCTGCAGTGAGAATTTTAGTTTTTTGAAAGTCAGAATACTATTTTTTCTGAACTATGGATTGTGATACAACAAAATCAAGCCCCATATACTTGATCAAGCTTCAGACCAATTGCATCCACAGCCTGATTCAAATTTGGCTTTATTTATTGGTTACCACTCTTTCAGCATCATTGCACGGGATTCCATCCCATCAAAACACTGCAGGTAAGCGTGCTTGGGAGAGAATAGTATTAGGATAATGACCTTCTGGGAATTCCTCACGTAGCACCCCTTGAAAAAGGCATTATTTATCATTTTCTACTTATTTTTACGATATTCATCCATTTCAATTATTCCTTATCTGGATGAGACTTGGTTTGAATGAAAAAAGTTGAAATTCTCCCCCATATTCTGTTCCCCTTTCCTCTCTTACCTGGTTGCTCCTCTTTGTTCTTTCTCATACCCAACAAATCTTTCTCTCTCTCTCTCTCTCTCTCTCTCTCTATATATATATATATATATATATTAAATAGTGACTTGGCATGATTCCCATGTTAAATTGGACAACCATCTCTCCTTGCACACATCCCTAGGATGCTCTTTCTTGTATCAAAAAGTCATGGTGATTGATCTTTTCCTCCGTCTTCGTGAGACATGCAGTGGAGGATTTCCATTCATTATGTTTGAAGATAGCCGGAGTTAATATTGCAGTCATTTGGTCAACAAACCTTAGAGATCATAAGGTTTTAATCAAACCTAATTAGGGCTTCTGAGATCTTAGCCTTAACCAAAATTTGCATCAGAGCGTGAGATCTAAGGTAGTCTAATAGGAGAGAAAGGCATGGAATTGAAGGCTAGATGATAGGGGACTTTGCATTTACATCACTGTTTTGTTTGTATTGATTCGATGGTGTTCTGTGGTGACATATTCATCTCTATTGTATAAGCTATGATGTACAGATACGGACACGACGACACAGATATGACACGCAGGGACACGAGACACGTCAATTATTGAAAATATTGGACACATATATGAGTTGTACAAGGTATTATAGTTTTTATATTTGTTGACTTTCGTATAATGTCCAAAGGAAACAAAAAATTCTGCATACCTCGTTCGATCGAAGAAATCCCGGAAATCCCGTTATGCGGGTGATTGATTTGGTGTTGTGGATATGAAATAAAAAATTTTATTTTTATATTTAAATAAGTAAAAATTTTAAATACAAGAGATTATATTAAAAAAAATCATAAAATATTTAAGATACAAGTTGTCCAATTTATATTTAATATTTTTTAATGTGTCATCCAATATGTGTCGGAGTGTAGGACGTGTGTCGTGTCGGACACTGCACTCCTCTTTGAGAAAAAGTGTCGGTGCATCATAGTGTATAAGTTATTTAGAATTAATCCATGAAATTTGCCGAGATCCTCCTGCTTCTCCATGATTATGCAATTGTAATTTTATTCCATATGCCATACAATGCATGTTCCAGTAATTTAGAAGCATAAAAAATACCCTGTTGCAATTTCTGCTTAAGCCAGGACGTATCCATTACTATTGAATTTGCTGTCCACATAAACTCACCACCCTAGTTTCTTTGTATTAAATTTCCATCCTTCTAAAGACTTGAGAAATATGTTAGGCTGGTCCTCCAGTCTAGCTGTCCCAAAATTAGGGTCGGCCCCTGGTTTATTCTAGGCGGACCACATAGCTGTTGGCCCCCCTGTGGGGCTCATTAATTGAATGCAAAATTAATGATGAGTGAGCGGTTTAGGAGGGAATTAATTTTGGGAGGGCTGCTTAGTAATTATAATTATATTTGTATTATGTTAGTTGATGGGGAGGGTTAGGGTTAAGGTTATGTTATGTTTTGCTGAATTTGGTTTTCTCTTAAGTTTGTTTGGGCTTTAGTCGTCGACTAGAGATTGGGAGAGCCAGATATTCCTCTTGAATTGAAGATCCATTGTATCTTGTTTGTTTTATTTCATCTTTCATCAATTATCAAGTTTCCTGAGTATTTTGCTACCAAATTTCTCTCAATTTCTATTTTATCTTTGCTGAAATTCCAAATTTAGACCAAGTTCTTTCGATTCCTGCAAGTATTTCTTTGAACAAATTGGTATCAGAGTACTTTTTTGGGTGGAAAAATAAGTTGTCTTTGCTTCTTTGGTGATTGGAGCCTAGATTCAATTAGTGGTAGTAAAGAAGATGGATGCGTTGGAAGGCGAGATGGAATAACTTAAGACTGGAGTACAGGAAAAATATTCCGGGGTTGAGGGGAGACTCTTACCCGTCGAGAACCGCTTTGAAAATTTTGAAGACATGATGAAAAGATGTTTGAGATGCATTTGAAATCATCACCGGTGATTCTTAGGGTGGAACCAAGAAGAAAGGAGATTCAAGAGGATGGCTGTATCGTCCTAGAATATAATTTGGAAGCATTATTTTTTTATCTTTTAATAAACAACACCAGAGCTATTAAACTTCATTTATCAGAATTAAATAATAAAATAATTTAGAATTCAAAGCATCTATATATACATATGTATTCATTTCCCAAAAAATTATATATACTATTCAGGATCTATATAATCATATCATAATTAATCTATTATGAGTACAAAAGCATAACTAAAAAAAAACTAAATCTAAGAAATCCTGATCAGTCGCACACTCTTGCTTTCTTGCACTTGCTTGAAATTATTTAATCACATATAATGAGCTCAAGAGCCCAGAAAGTAACCAAATTCTATAACTGAACTCAATACAAGGCAAATGACCAATATGTACGTCGTCTGTCAAATTATTGTGGGCTTCGAAAATTGGGCCCCAACCTCCCTGTTACTTTTCGGGGGAGTTTTAACGAATTAAGTTCTGGGATAAATTTTGGGAAGCCAAATGGGTTTGTAGATAAGACACTACCCAGAGATTTCACCCTCATTTTGTGAGGACTTTAGATCTGAGTTCTCGTTTCCTATTGGCTCAAGCTCCTATAGTTAATTACCCCTTCTGGTAATGAGAGAGAACTTTAGATTAAGTCTAGTCGTCAATCAGATATATAGATACATTATATCTAGCATATAGTAGCAACATGACATTTGGAATTTGAAGGGTTGATATTTAAAATTGGAAATTCCATCATCTTGTGCTTGAAGTGGATGGTGGGGGAGTGGATTATGGACCCGATCAAGATCCCGTGGTTTCGTCATTTTTGGCCATCGTGGTCCCTGGTCTACTTATTGAGAAGAGGTAGTTGAACCAACCTGACAGAAGGATCCTTGTCGGCAGCCATGTGTTGCTTTCTCCAAGGGTACCTTGTAGACCTATAGTGGGTATTTGACTAAGTTGACAAATTTAAATCCACCTTAGCTAACAGAGGGCTTTGTGCCCTATCGATTGTATCCTATTGATTCATATCTCAATAATTTGATGTCGATGAGGAGCATACGGGCGCTAGCAATAACTGTAATTTAGTGGTGCATTTGACAGCAAACTACTTGGTTCAGAGGGTCCCGGTCATAATCATTTATCTGCGGTGCCATTGATAGCAAATTTGCAAGTTAGAGGACACATGCCACGCCTTTACTGGTAGGAGATTGTTTGAGAATGAATCTTAGTGAAATTCTCCACCAGACATTAGCTCTTTGTGAGCTGAATTATCTTTAAGATTTGTACACCTTAGCAAACTGTTGTGGAGGGTATATAAGTTTTGCTTTAAGCGATTTGATGGATTATTTTGATTTTAAATATTTTGAGCTTTTGGAATTTTGAATTTTAAAATTTTTTGGGTATTTGGGAAGTATTTTAAATGTATTGGAAAGTGTAGAGTATTTGAAATTAAACCATCCGATTGAGATATACGTTCAACACGGCCATCATCAGAGGTATGTGGGGTTATCTTATTTATGGGTTGAACCTTGTTGACTTTGTCTACCACAGAGGATTGGATTCGCTATCACTTGTATGTATTTATTAATGAATTTGCATTGTTCACAGGCCTTGAATGACTAATATGAATTATAAAACAAATATTCCAATTGAGGTCACGATAGCATATCAGTTTGCATCTACCCGTATAGAAAGATTGGGCTTGAACTTAAGTTAATTATTCAACCCGCGTAGCATCCCTAGACGTCACGCGTATACCCATAACACGCTCGCCGGGGCCCATACGGGTATGTGATTGCGCATGCACTTCTTTATATTCGTGTGTATACATATTGTAGTGCATTTATGGGAACATTTTTGAAATTATTTAATACTGGTCAGTTGTATGGGCAACTTTCATTTGAATACCAAGTTCTATTTGGGAGCTTGTACATGCTTTCTATCCGCTTGTATTCAAGTTGCATATTCAGTGTCGTCGTCTTACGGGTTGACAATTGCTTTGTACATGTAGATTGTCGTGCACTACTTGTTTCCTTATATAGGTGGATTGTAGTGTAGTAATGAATCTCCTGCTATTACTAGTAGA